TTTTTATATCAGAGGTACACTGCACAGAGGATCCGTACTAGACGGACAGGAAAAGGACCGGCGTTGTCATTATCCCACCGTGTTTCCCTTTGCGGCGTGGTTCCCACCATCGCCGTGGTCTCCCAGACGAGCGGCATGTGCAGAGCGCGCCCGCCGATTTTGTGCGCTTCACGACGCCATGTATCCGACGCTGTACGCAAATAGGCCCTTTGGCATTGCGTTTTGCATCACCACCCTTGCTTGCAGGCGGGCCTTTTTCTTAGCGTCTGTAATATGTACCTACTGCACCTGTTGTTACTGCACGGTATTGCCATATACCCAAATTCCAAGTCATGTTCAAAAAAACGGCAAAAAAATTCCTTCTCCCGCTCTTCCACTTTCCCCGTCTTCCACTCTTCTCCGTCTTTCCCGGAGGTCCCCAATGCATGGATTCCCAATTCCCGAGTGACGGCACCATTGCTCAGACGTGAAACTCGAAAGCGTTATGAAGAAAAGGGCCCCAGTATAGGGTGGGCAAAACAAGGGTATCATTGGGTTGCGCCAGCCCCGCTGGAAGACCCGGTCAGTGTCAAAGCGGATCGGTACGAAACCCAAAGACTGATTGAGAAGGTAGGCGGCCGCTAGAACAAGGACATGATTTTTTTCCCTGTGGCTCGTACATCATCTCGATTCATGCTGGCAGGCTTGCCTTGGTTGGCCAAAAGGAGGATAGATGGGAGGATATTTGTCTTGGTCTTTGCCTTTTTTTTTTGGGGGGGGGGGAAGACGGGCAGGGCAAGGCAGAGCAAGGCTGGGCAGGGCAACCACGACACGAGGAGGAGAATCACAGCGGCAATTTCACACACTCAACAAAAAGCTCTAGCCATCGACATCATCCAGCGCCGCAGACACTAGGACGGGGCCGCAAATCACATGGTCGGAATTCCTTCCAGCTTACACTATGTGATTACCTGCATGACTAACTACGCCCTTACATTGCTGGTGGAAACGGTATGGAATGACACGGCTGACGGCTGACGGCTGCCGAGCGGGGCTTCCCGAGTCGTCAATACTGCTGAACTGGCGATGCAACGAATCACACCTGATCGCGCGAGCTGCCTACTTTGGCCAAGCGGAAATTTGCGACGGCGCCTGATATATATATACATATATATATATGTGTGTGTGTGTGAGTGTGGGTGTAGAAGAAAATAGGGGATTAGCAGATGCTATCGGGGAGGCAGTATGACACTATGGCACGTGAGAGGGGGACGCGGCAAGCAATGACAAGCGACAGGGACAAGCAAGTGAGATATCAATATGGCGATAGGATTAGCAACATGGAGGGAGAAGAAGAATGACCCTAGAGGGAGGCGTTTGGTAAGCAGTAGGTGTGCAGCTAGTGGGCGAGAGGTGCAGCTGATTGGCCGGCTCGCAGGGAATTGGCAGGTGTTGATGCGGGGCGGGGCGGGCTGACGGAGATCTCTGGGAAGGGAAAAATCAAGGTTCATACTGGCGGCAGGGACAACGCACATGGTGGTTCGGCGGCAAGAGTCAACTACGACGTCATCGCCGAGTCGCGCGCTGGGGAGCAAATGGACGCAGTCATGTACCCTACACAAGACATGGATGCAGACGTTGATGCAGGCAGATGCACACACGAGAACAAGCCTGGCGGGCCGCGAGCGCAACCCATGGCCGGGAGAGGGTGGAAGTGCTACACCCAAAGAAAACGGTTTTTGGCGCATGTTGCCACGATTCTCACGCGATTGTGTGCCGATCGCGCAGGTTAGCGCAGCGAGCCACGCATGCTCTGTACCTCGATGGGTGTCACTACAGGAGAGCCCATGGCGGACGGGTGGTCGAGAGTTCGCTTATTTTGCACTCAAAGGGAACAAATGCGAGAAGAGTAATCCAGTTCCGGATTGCTGGGACACTCTGACGGCAAGGGGTTGCAACACGGTTGCAACGTCTTTTGAGCAAAGTGGTTAGTGACGATCACTCGGCGCTGGTAGCAGCTTCGGGCAATGCTGCGTATTGATTGCAGACGTGAGGTCTAGCGCGGCAGCAAAAACTTTGTCGGGTCATGCTAACGGCTTGGGAATGCTCGTCAAGTCGCATCGCGCCTCACAGACGGTGGAGAGGGGGGGGGGGAAGGGACCGCAATCGGGCCGTAACGTGATTGCGCTCTCGCTGCTTGGGACGCTCGGAGCTCGCTACCAATAGCATTGCCGAACGGCTGGGGGCAGGCAATGCCGCGGCCTTGTTAAACTGCCGCTGACATGGCGTGTCGTGCACGTGACTGGCTAGCTCGGCGCCGGGCCCGGCAGCACCTGTGGCCCTCTGCCAGGCAGCTGGTTCATACGATGCGTCCTTACATGTACGTATTATGTATGTACGTGTACCTACGTACAGGCGGTACACAGACACGCAGACGTTAGCAGCCACGTAGCACGCGTCGGCTCTCGGGCCCGTCGCTGCACGTCTTAATAAGGATGCCATGCAAGGCCAACGCTCCAGACGCCGTGTGCTTGCACCGCTCCAGCTCTTTCCCCATGCAGCGCACCGCAAGCACGCCCGTGGCGTCCATTCCAAATTCCGCTTCCCCAGCTTGGCGATGCATCATCGACAACGGGAGGGCACAGACAGCACCCGTCCCCGTCGGCGAGTCAGACGCCCGGCGAGCGCTAGCCGCTCCCGCCTAGCCTTGGCCCGACCGAGCTTCCTGCCCCTGACTGGCGTCGCATCCACCTCGCTCGAGTCACGCTCGTCGGCCTGCGCCCTCGCCTCGCGCGGAACCTCAGGCTTGACTCGCCAACAGTTGCAAACACCGGGGATCTGGCGGCCCCGGCTCACAAACTGCCGCTGCTGCGCGTCCCGGCCAATTTCTCCCGCCCTGCTGGCACGTGCATGACTCAGGCTGCCTCGTGCCCCGGCTGCACACAGCCATTCTGGTCACCCCTCCTCCTGTGACAGCTGTCAATACTATGGCCATGTTATGCGCCCGAGCCCTATCAGGCAAGAGACGGGTCCCGGTTGAATTGGGCCGACAGTTACTGTAAATGGGCCATGTGTGCTCCATGATCATCGCCAGCGATATAGATTGAGATACATGACACGCCCCCCGAGGGAAGACTGCTTCCGCCCCAAACCAGCCTTCTCCGCCTGTCAATCCTTCGTACCCGAGCCTGCCCAATCACACACTCCCTCGTGAGGCATTTCCCACCCACCTGGCAAATGGGACGTTGCGAATTTCATCCTTGCTTGACCTTGTTTGTAATTTCCTTGTTTGAGGTCAACTGTCACAGCAGGGCAAACATCAAACACCAAGCATACCACGCCAGCGGAACAAGGCCGTTGAATCGTTGCAGTCAAATCGCCGCCTCATGACATATTTGGCTGCTATGCGCATGTACTTGGTGACCGCATCCTAAGGAGTCGTCTCAGATGCTACGCACCCAAACACGGCCATGATTACCCAAATCACCATGACGCTACGTAGTAGTATGTGGATGCAAAAGATATCGCCCCAAATCCCAGCCTTAGCAGCCTCACATACACACGCCTTCTGTTGCCTCACTGCTCCGTTCCATTACTATCACGGCCCCAGAATAGCCTTCTCAGCGTTTCGACTCGCCTCGGTTCAGAATCTACAGGGTTCCCGCTGTTGACCGACTGGCTGGGTCTCGAGTCCGACGTGTATTCGTGAAATATTCTCTCCATGGCACAAATGCACATCTATGTACGTGCAACATTTCCTGCTGCTGCCATCCATATTCAGTCTCTGTCTCATCGCCCCGTCATTCACGCGTCAATCTTCTACCACACTTGGCGACGGGGTCGTGTTCTCGTTTTGACTCAAACCCTGACCTTGGCGCCTTCTCCCGACAGGTCCGGAGTTTGGCTCCGACTTACACAAGTTTACCCAGCGTTACAGATGACATGTTGTGTCCATATCGGGGTCCATCGAAGACATCTAGATTACCTGGATTATCTCGATCATCTAGATTTTATGTATCGCGATAAACCCGTTCTGACGGGTGGTGACGCTAGACCCGGCCCGCCGCCCAGCCTCACATACACGCACACGTACATCCATACGACTGGAAGCACGCTCCCAAACTCCAGTTTTATTCCTACCACAAACCACTTTCGTGGATGCTAATGCACGTCACATCATCACGCCAACCAAACCCGCCCGCTGCCTGCACCGCCTCTTCACACTGTCCCCTAATATGTATACGAATTTATATACCGCATAGCCCCTTGATGTGTTGCTCTGATGCCCACCCACTTTTTCTTTGGGAACCCTGCTTGGCGCAACACTGACACGTTCACAATGACAGAAACAGAATACCGAGCGAGTGGCCTCGGTATCAAGTTCCGTCCAATCACCCATTGACCCAGCCAAATATCCGGGCACAGACAGTGTGTTGAGGCTTAGTCCTGAATACAGTTTCGAGATCAGTAATCACATAATAGACAAAGCAGCATAGTATGTGTGTATCACGAACTTAGAATCAAAGAGAGAGAGAGATAGTATACTAGAGGGAAAATCAGAGGTTTACGTTGTACACATGGTGATCTCCTGCCTCACTAGCTATCTTTGGAACAAAAAAAAAGGGAAGGAAGCGACGCGAGAAGAAAAAAAGCAAGTACATCCCGAGCTGTGGCGACGTTTAGGACCTGCAGGCGTTGAGACCTGCATGATAACGGGTTTTTGAATCTTGGACGTGGAACGGGTGGAGAGGGGATTTGCTGGAAAAAAAGGAACCACTCCAAAAAAGGGGAGTGGGGCCCTGGCGATGACGACGGACGGTTGGTACCCGTTGCACACATCATTGCCTTTTGATTGCCCGCCCGGGTCAATAGATGCGTGTGCCGCTGCATAAAACCCACTGCATCAACTCGAGGACGGTCTTAGGCCCGCGACGCATGTGCGTAGTATAGTAGTAAGTATGTATGCGGAACTCCGCTGCCCCGTCGTTGCTTGATACAAGGTTGTGGGGGTCCCTTCCTCTCTTCCCCCCCCCCTACCGACCTCGAGTCAGGGTCCAACCATTTTCCTCTTGTGCGTTTCTTGTCTATCCGCCCCCCCCCCTTCACAAACACGTGACAGTTGTATTACTGTGCCACATAATCCACACACACTAGCACATACACACATATACAACCTACACATTTTTGTCCTCTCCCTAGACAAAGCCCGGCTGCTCGCCTTAAAAAACGCCATGCCCTTGCTTACCTGGACCTGGAACCTTGACCTGTTTGCGCCCTCGAGGGGATTGTCAGCGCTAACGCCACAATCCCCTCTCCACTCCCCCCTCCCCAAAAAAAACCTAATCCACTGATGACATCGAGCATCCGCTTTTATGTATCATTTGTACATATGTATGCGTGTTGTTGGATATGATATACTATAGCCTCTGCAAGGACGGACCCCACCAAAGCATTTCCCTCCCCCGTTCCGCTTACTTACCTCTTTGGGCCACCCTTAGCGTCATGTACACAGTCCCTTTGGGGGGGGGGGAAAGGCGGTGCGCCGCTCCTCATCCATCCAATCCACTTCCAACTCCACTCCCCTTCCCTCAAAACCTCCCACACTACCACCCACGCCTCCGTGCATTATCGGACTTGCCGCTTAGGGGCAGCATCGCGCCATTGCTAAACTTATTTTTTGGGGGGGGAGGGGGGAAAGCCGGGCGCCCGCGCTCCATCATCTGTGCCCTTTTTTGCTCGAGCCCTGTTCCCTGTTTCCGGATCTGTCCTTCTTTCCTTTAACACGCTTTTTTTTGGGTGGGCCCCTGTCCCACCTCTACCCTCACACACATGCACACCCCCCTCCTTCCATATCCTTGCATCTTTTCTTTCATGGTGTGTGGGAGGGAGGGAGGGAGGGATAAGTTTTGTAGTGGAGGGTTGGTAATGGGCAATTAAGCGAATGGGGATGGATGGGTGTGGTGGTTGCAAGGTTGCTGCGGGGTACGTGGTTTGAGATTGATGATGGAGGCAAACGAGAAGGATTTGGCGAGATTGGCGTGGCTGCGCTGTGGCACACTAGCTTTGGTTGCGTGATATTTTGCGGAATGGATGGAAGGGCAGGTAGGGGGGGAGGGATGATGTGTAGGGGTGGGGAAGGAGGCGGAGAGGGCGCAAGATACAGTTGTGGCCGCTCCGGGTCATGTCAGCAAAGTGCTTTGGTGCAAGCAAGGGAATTGCCAAAGGGGTGGGTGGGGGAGAGGGAAGACTTCGGCTTGTGGGTTAGGCGCTGGTGTTGGATGGGGGGCGACTAGATGGATGTTCCTTCTTCCTCGCCCTGTTGGTGTCTAGAGTGTAGCGTGTAGTTGTCATTGGTGTGCATTGGCGCGGGGCGTCAATTGATCATGGGAAGAGCTTACAGCTGGAATCAATGGGTCGAGGGGGTAGACCTCCTGGCGCGTGTTGGCGGTGTTAGTTGCCGCTGTCATGAAATGCCCTTGCACAAAGTTTGGAAAAGAAACTCTCCCCTTTTTGTGTAGACATGAATGTATTGGATATCTAGTAGTGCGTGCATTGCACTTTGTGGGGTGGCGTGCAATTGGGCAGTGAGGGAATGTATACATGTGCCGATTGGAGCAGGAGGCATGTCATGTGTAAGTGGAAGCATGAGGAAACAGGTTTGCTTCTGTATCGGGTATCGTTGTAAGCCCTCTCTTCCTTGTGCTTGTTGGGGGGGTTGTGTGGTTGTAACTTTTGTGGCAAAAAATATTTAACATAGCCGCTGGGCCCTTTTCGCCAACATGCACCTTTTTGAAGTCGCACTATTGCTGTCTTCGATCTACCCACCTGACCATGAGGCTCTTGTTCAATTCGTCTATTTACCTAGCACGTAGCGCGTTCGCCCAACCACTTGGCTGATACTCGGTTGGCCTTGCACACCACACACCACACATCCCTACATAGACGCCTCCCAACGCCCTCTCACCGGACAAGGCTCATGTGCGAATCACAGCCTCTAATCGTCAATCTGCCCAATGTTGCCCAACCTGCCTACCAAAAGCGCACTTCAAAACATCCAAGGATAGACGCCTCTTTTTTTTTTAAACTCACTTGTCTCAGCCTTTCAGCCCTGTCCGCCTCCGGACTAGACCTGGCATGGTAGCTGGCTAGCGCGTTGCCCCGAGGCACTGGACTTGCAACCAAGCGCTTGTCGCGCCTTCGACCCTTCTTAGTACGCGCGTTCGTATTCCCTTGAGAACCGCCGCGTGATCATCGTAGCAAATCCATGGCTTGCAGCGAATCAGCCCCCGACCCGCGCACCATAGCTTTTCCGCCCGGACTCTTGCCGCATCGCCTTCTCTGACGATGCGCTACTAGCCCTTCTTGTGTTGCGAAACAATGCTTTCCTCGATATTAAGATGGGCGGGATATCTTAAACCCATTAGGCTCGGGGATCAACCTTGCAATCCTGCCTCTCAAGACGTCATCGACATGCAAACCGAGTTACATCCATTTTTACCCTTTGACCTTCCCTTCCCACACAGACACAGATACACACCCACACATCCTTTCGCCCTGTTTCCTGATATTGTCACCCACCATTGCGTGTTTCCCAACGAGCACTTATCCTTTTTATCGGTTTTTTGCTTTTTCGTTTGCACCTGCAGCTGCGAGATCAAGCGACTAGCAAATATCTCATGCATGAAATTATTGCGCCAAATGTTTCCTCCTGCTTCTGACCCCGATCCACTTCTCAGCCTCCCTCCGTAAGCCGCCCCCCTTGCGATCGCTGGGCTTGAAACCCTGTTCCCAATACTATGGTAAACTTTTGCTAGCTCCAGTAGCCGACTGAATCGTAACCCTTTCTCTTCTGGCAAACAAGGGACTTCCCTATACCTCTCTCTTTTAACTCTGTCTCTCTCCCGCCGACAAGCGTCGGCGACGGCGGCGGCGACGGGCAAGTTGGCATGGCTAAAAATCATCAAAAAAAGGCCCGAAGACACACGACTTCCTTTCCCTTTCCCGCCATGCAAACAGCCGGCGGAGAACTGCCGATGACAATCATGTCACAGCTGTGGTTTTGAAAACCAAAAAGTCCCGCTTAGGTTTGCTACGTAGCCCTTTTAATAGCTGAGGTATCCCGGTCCTTAACATTTGTATACGTCCATTTCCCCCGGTTCCGTTTTGCGTTTTGCGCATCCGGCGCCCCCTCCCTTCCATCTGATTGTTTCGTTCGGCTTTAATGGGGAGCGACACAAAGAAAAGATGAAGGTACACGTTACACCGGGTCCCGGAATCATCTCCGTCTCCCCCCCCCTTCTAAATTATTCTTGGTGGTGAGAACCTTCTTTTTCTTTTTTTGTTGGTCGGGAAGCTCTGGGTATCTGAAACTTCTCTGCCGCCGCAGGTTCTGGGCAGATTGTCGTACGAATTAACATGTTTCGACTGGTGATATCTGTGCACAGAGCCTCCTTATTCTCCGGTCGAGAAGATTGGGCTTAAAAAATGCTTGATTTTACTTCGCTTGCAGATCCAACTTGTCTACCTATGCTTCCTACCCTTTTTGTCTACTACTGTTTTTAGGTTTTAGTTAGACTAAGATCTGGAGAGAGAGAGAGAGAGAGAAAGTTCATGCTTTGATTAATCTACTAGGTGACATCATACTACATTATGCTCACCCTATAGTAGAATTCGCATCGTATAGAATTGTGGTTGGTTGAATAAAATTTCGTATGCACTCGAGCGTTTTTGTACAAGTATTACACTCGAAACGTTCTCCCCACATCCCGACGACATTGACGCAGGCGTGTCCGAAAAAAGAAAGCACTTCGTTGCCGGCATACCTACCCGACCAATTAAATTCTTTCCAAACATTTGTCTTGTCCCTGAATCTTCGCGACGTCATTCCGGTAAGTTCCATATCACTACAATAAGAAACATCAAAGGTGACGGGCGAGTGAAATGGGCGAGTAGGTGTTCCTCGACAGGGACATATTACCCGCATCTCGCCGGCGTCAGCGATGAACTGATTTATGATTCTATCTGGCCAAGGACAGAGACAAGACAAGAGAGATAAGATGAGTGGGCACGGAGTGAGCACATTCTTTACACGGAGTGTAGTGCGGAAAAAGGAAAAGTCTCCAGAGGGTGTGTCTGAGAGTCAGAGTGAGAGAGAGATACACTGTCAGACGGGACTTAATCAAGTGGCAAAAAAATAAAATAAAAAGATAACCACTAGTAGCGGTGAGCCAAGGCCCTGCATCTAAGACATGATATCAACCTACACGGTACCTTGTTCCAACGTCGCTTCGCAACATGCATTGTCAAGCCCACATGATAGATAGTATGCACACCCTTTCACACCTCCCTTCCCCCCCCCCCACCCGTTGAACTCCGAATCACACGGCATCGATTCAAAGAGAGAAAAAAAGCGCTTAAAGCTTATTGCCCATATTGATATGCACGGCTTTGACCTGGGAGTAAGCATCGAGTCCAGCCTCGCCGAGCTCGCGCCCAATACCGCTGTGCTTGACGCCGCCAAAGGGGATTCTGAAGTCGCAATCCTGACTGCTATTCACCCACACGGTGCCGGCCTCAATCTCGGCTGCCACTCGATGGGCGCGCTCGAGGTCGCGGGTAAAGATGGCACTGCCGAGCCCATAAGTCGAGTCATTGGCCATGGCAATGGCTTCCTCTTCGTCCTTGAACGTTGCAATAATGACAATAGGTCCGAATATTTCTTCGCGGTAGATGCGCATCTGGGGTGACACTTTGGTGAAGATGGTGGGCTTGACGAAGTAGCCTTGACCGCTGCAGGCTTCACCGCCCTCGAGTAGCTCCGCGCCTTCGGACTTGCCAATGTCGATGTACGAGAGTACCCGTTCGTACTGCTGCCGGGTCACTTGAGGGCCTTGGAAGGTAGACTCGCTCCACTGGTCGCCAATGACGGACACCTCCTTGACCTGCTGCCGGAACTGAGCGAGGAAGGTTTCGTAGATGGACTCCTGAACTAGAATCCTGGACGTGGCAGTGCAGATCTGACCTTGATTCGACATTATACCAATATGAGACCATCGTACCGCCTGCTCCATGTCGGCGTCGTCAAAGACGAGCAACGGAGACTTACCGCCCGTCTCTAGGGTAATATTTTTCAGTCCTACTGCAGCCATCTTCATGATTTGAGTAGCCGTAGCTGTGGAGCCGGTAAATGCAACCTTATCGACCAACGGATGTTGCACTAATGCCGCGCCTGCTTCCTTTCCTAGACCATTCAAGATGTTCACCACGCCCGGTGGGAACCCAGCCTGCTTAACGAGGCTGGCTAAGACGAGAATGGACAGAGGCGTTTGTTCGGCGGCTTTGAGTACCACAG